AGGCTGTCGCCATCACACTTCTCGGCTGGTCAGCAGCTAGTGCGGGAGCATCCTGCTCCTCTGAGCGCCGACTCGAGTGATCGGGCACATGCAGCAGTGGGTGATGCTTCCCACGACAGCCGTTCTCTCCACAGATCAACTTCTTTCGACACCGGCTGGCCCAGTGTGACTCGCCGAGACAGCGATAACAGCGTCTGTTGTCACGCGCGAGCTGCAGGCGGTCGACTGGCGCCATGGCTTTGAAAACTGGACAGCAATCCAGATTGTGCGCCTCTCCATCGCAGGCCGGACATGGAGCGGGCTCTGTTGCCGTCGCTGTAGCCAGAGTGGTGCGCTGGCTGCTGCCTCTCCGTCGACCGGCTGGCTCTGCCGGAGCCACCCGCTGCGTTCTGGGCATCATCACCTCCCGCTGTCTAGAGACACTGAGCGCGCGGCGACCAGCCAGCACCAGCGGTCTCAGCCACTGGTCAACGTCTCCCAGCGTGGGACGACGTGGTGCCATCTTCAGCTCCACCTGGCCCCACTGCCAAGCCAGTGACCTTGGCAGCTTTTCTAGGACCTGGTCCAGGTTTGTTACTGCAGCGAGGTCAGCTTCGAAACCTCTGGCGGACAGAACACTGACGGCGGCGTGGAGGGCGCGAGAGAACCGCATCAGGCTCTCGACATCATTTTCCTTTATGGAGTGATGCTTGAGGACACCATCAAGGGTAGCTGTTACAACCGCGCGAGGGTCCCCAAATTGCATATCCAGCTCTTTCAGTGCCTCTTCATACATGTTGCCGTCACATAAGAGCCCACGCACTGCTTCTCTCGCTTCGCCTGTCAGACAAGACTGCAGGTAGGTCAAACGTTCGGTGTCTGAGAGAGCGCCGTTATCATGCACCAGAGCCCGGAAAAGTCCGCTCCACCGTGGCCATTCGAGTGGAGAGCAATCAAACTCGTCCAGCGTTATCTTGGGCAGTGATGAGGTCCGGCGCTGGCCGTCACCGCACGGCAGCTCACTCAGCCAGCGCTCCGTGCGCTCCCGGGCGTCAGCATTTGCATTTTGTTCAGGCAGGTGAGCTCGCTGGGGCCCTGCAGCGGACTGAGATCGTATCTGATTCACATCGGTTAACTGCTGCATCTGACCGTGTCTTGATATGACACCGGAGGGCGGCCTAGGGTCTGCCGGCGCTCCATTTCCCTCTCTGTCTCTATCTTCAAATACCAAATCGTTCGGGGACTGGGACTTCAAATCGTCGTCTTCCATGAGCCGCAATTCTAAAGCATCGATTTCGGCGGCGTCAGCAGCCCTCTGAGCCTCTGCCCGGGCCTCCTGTATCACGAGTTGGGCCTCAGCCTCAGCAGCGGCGGCGGCAGCGGTGGCCGCCCGTCTTCGTGACTCCAGCGCTCGTTCAGCTTCATCAGCCGCTCGTCTGGCCTGCAGCGCCTTCAACTGGGACACCTGAGCCTTCCTGCGCTTGGCACTGGCTGTTGAGGTGCTGGTTCCAGCCTCACTCCTCGTCTTCAGGCTGGCCTCCGACGTACTCGTATCTCCGCTCATTTTTACGTTACGAAAATATGAAACTCGTTAAAAGTCCTCAAACCTTAAAATAATAGTTCTGCATTGGTTACGCTAGTTCGTTACAGCGTTATGCGCATATGTTTCAAAATCTAAATACTGATGCAAGTTCTGAGTTCAAATGCTTAAGTGCGTTACGTTAATTCTGAATCCGGCCCGGAGGACCATAATGTTGTGTCTGCAACATTAAACAAAAGTGCCGGATCTTTCCAATCAAGAAAAAACGGAAACGCAAGCAAACATTTCATTCATTCGTCGAGCCAAAGCAATAACAATACCACAATGAACCAAGTTTTGAGCCAAATTTCAAATTCCTTTTTTTTCCCGTTATCATTTTCTTCACATTCTTCATCAGTGTAACACATTTCATTTTTCATGCGCCTTTTGTCTCGCGCCATCGTTCTAATATGGACTTTGTTCGGACAGAACACCCTACATCGAAAATCGTATTTGTTAGGAATCGTTAACGTTTGTTCGAAGCACGACTGAGTAGTAGGTTGAGGAGTGATGGTCCTCTTGGTCCTATATACAAGAGTCAACAAGAGCCTAACATTTACTTGACCGTCTGCTGCAATTGACTCATAGCACGTGAAGCGTCAGCGAAATTCATAGTCCTTCACAGATGGCAGGGGTGTCGTTTGTACAGAGGTCGCTGATGGGCACGGGTCAACGCCGCAGTCGTGGGCGGAGCCTAATGTCATATGACGTAGAAAGCCTCTATCCAGGATGGAAAAACAGTTAACATTACGAGTCAATGACAAGTGCCTGAAATATTGAAATGGCGATAAAATATCTAAATTGTAAAAGTTTCGGCCTGTCTTGAAACGGCCATGTCCTGAGCTTGGTTGAAATTCCTTCACGCATTTAAAAGTAATCGCGAAAAATTAGGGTCTCAAGGGGTCTGGCGTTAACAGTAGGTCAGCGTGGTCTATTAACAGTGAGTTTACTTGATACGTCTTGAAAGAAGGTGGGTGTGGTGAATGCGTTGGCGTTGCTTGAAATGATAGGGCATTAGTAAATTCCAGTGTTATTATCAGCGCCAACGCTGGGATTAACAGGTTTTAAAACGCCTCAAACCAGCTATTTAGAATCTGCAAGGAGGAATGCTGCTTAGGTAGCCGAAAGCGTTTGTGGCTAGATAATAAAACGCCTTCGCTTCCGCTCGGCGGCACCTGACCTGCCGGGACTGGGCGGATTACCGGTGGCTGGGAGGATTAGGGGTGGTATTTGGGCCTTGATCCCACAGTGCGGTGGCCGGCCAACCCGGACGGGAAGGATCACTGGCCTGTAGTAACACGGTATACGTCCGGTCCCGTGTGCTGAACTGAGCGCGCGGTATGAACGACCGACCGCGGTCAGTGAATGGAGGGGAATCTCCACATATCTTGGCTGCAGTTCAAACTGCCAGATTCGACCACGCCGACATGAAACTGTCAGAGGGTCACCACAGAACAGTGTCTGCAAGTGTTGGTAAAAATGTTGCCGGTTTCAAATGCTCATAAAAGGGATTGTGGAGACATCAAAGCATTGTTATTCACCCCGCCTTACAAGCTATAACCGTGACAGTCGCTGGATTACGTAGGATTATCGCCGGTGTAAAAGTATGGTGATTCATGCAGCGACTGCTGCACGACACAACATAAAATACATCACAACAGAGCTGTCGCCGTCCATTAAATCATATTCAGCTGAACGAGCCGGTCACCATAGTGACTTATGAGTACCTACTGGTCGATGACTCTGGCCAGCTTTGGGCCTCTACCGGTACGACTTGGCTCGGACCACATCTACATCTTCACTGGCTCAGGCGGGCGAATGTCAGGTGCAGTCGGACGAATGTCAGGGTCAAAGCTCAATTTGGCAACCTCAGCACCGGCAGCTGGCGGGCAGCCGTGCCGTCTGGCCTGCTTCCACGGCCGCGCGGAGACGAGTCATCGTTCGTTCTGCAGATGAGTGCGGGGTACGAACAGACGAGTGACGAGGCATCGGCACATGGCAGGCCTCGTGTCATGTTTTGCAACGTCAAAAAAGAGTATGACTGTTCGGTTGAGTGTCAGATATCTGGCTCAGAATTCTTGAAGATGCTCTCGATGTGGGAGATTTTACTTTCTAAAATCTGTTCGCACGGCGTAATCAATGATCGACCACTCTGGATTCGAGTGAGTAATTTAAACGGTTCGCCATTTTGGCATTGTCTCTACTGCCACTGCGCTGAAAAACGAAAGCAACACGATGTGAAAATTCCTAAATTCAGCATGCGTCACGCGGCGACAATAAAGATATTCGGAAAACGTGACTAACCGCCGCGTCGGCCCCATTCCGACCACACCGAACGGTGAAAACTGAAAACTATGGCTACTCGACCGATCAAATCGACTACGCCACGCCAGAGCGCCGCCTGCCGTGTCCGAGCGGATCCGATCCACCCTCTGAGGAGCTCACGGCTCGGCCCGGCTGCCTCAGCCGTGGAGGAGCCCCTGTCCGGCTATCCTCAGCTCCCGCGCCTCCATATCGAGATGGCTCGGCCGCTATTGTTGTGCAGTTCCCGTCAGGCAATCGACCTTGGCGTGACCAGTGGCCGTCCTGTACGGATATGCAAAACACGAGGCATGCCCGAGCACCGGCTTTTCATCCACAAATGCTGACTATCGGAACACGAGAGGTCTAAACGTTAAAACAGGGTTGGCAGGGGGTGGCAAAAACTGGTTTTTGCCAGTGGTTTTAACCGGTTTAAACCGGCTGGCAGAAACCCTGGTGGCAAGAACTGGCAAAAACTGGCTAAAACTCAGATGGCCAAACCTACAACTTTTCTAGTTAGGAATGGATTTGAAATGTACAAATGCATTTCTGGTAGTTATATAGATGCACTAAACATTCTAAAGCTGCCTCATTACTTATCCCTGCTTAAAATGTCTATGCATGTCGGTAGACATCCACAACGGAACGTATTTCCATGTAGGGGAGAGTGGGGCAAGACAGCCACGGTAAGTAAGGTGTCATGCGGTGCCGTGCGCATATCAGTGGCAGATGCCCCTTCGCACTTCTGATTGTGCAGGACTCACCCAGTCACCCTTGCACTGGCTCATTTGTCACCCCAAAAGGCATCTTACTAGCTCCTTATGGAAAGCCCATGAAAATGTTTGAGTTATGAAGCATTTCAATGGTCAGTGTCACTTCTGTTTGAAAGCATAAAGCTTTCACCGAATTCTCCTTAAAATGCTTCATGTTCAAATTCATGTCCAAGCATAGCATTGTGATATTTCTTAGTTTTTACCAGTTTTTGCCACTTTTTGCCGGTTAAAACCGGTTTAAACCGGCAAATGGCATAAACTAGTTTTTGCCGGCAAAAATGCCAACCCTGCGTTAAAAACACAGCGGTTTTACAAGACAAGCTGAAACTCCCAAAGACGGCCGATTTGTAAAGAAAATATACAATAACTGATCTCGTCAACTTGTATTGACTTGTATCATATACGACATGACAGCACATCAAACTTCACAGTACTAATCTAAAACAGTTATTCAAACAATACGTTCTCTTTAAATAAACACTCGCAGCTAAGGCAAGTAGTGGAAGCTCGATAGCGTTCAGTTCTCCCCAGCCCGGCGCATTGGCAGCCCGCATAACTCCGTGACGCACGTCACAGTGACGTTATCACCGTCATCTGTTGCGCCGCCTAGCATGTTGCTCGCGGCTGATGCTGTTGCTCGCGTCCGAAGCCATTCCTGCGCGCACAGCGTATACTAGCAGGGGTGGAGCAGGGCGTGGCCCTTGTCTCCCTGTCAAATTAGCGGCAAATTATACTGGCGGCGGTACGGACGACGTGGGTGGGGCGGGGCGGGGCGGGGCGGGTCACGACTGGGTGACAGATCGGCGGCCAGGAGAGCGTCTCGACTGACTAGTTTCAGCTGACCGCAGCACTGGCAGCGAAGCCCCGCGGCGGCGGCGGCACCGCACGGCGGACCGGAGCCGACCTGCGAGCCACCGCGGCTCGGGCCACTGTCTCGCGGCGGCTCTAGGTCCTCAGCGGTCCAATCGGTCCACTTTCGGTCCACTCAGTCCACTGGAGGTTCACTCAGTCCACTCAGTCGTCCACCAGTGTCACCACGGCCGCCCTAACAGGCACATCCAGTGAGTACTTTGGCTTCTCCCGCGAGAGCGCCTTGTGCCGCTCAAACGACAATTTGTCCGTCTCGGGCCGGTCGGCCCAGTGCAGCACAATCTCTTGGTCGCACGGGCACGCGCGCACAAACGCCTCTTCCGAATACGCCTGGTGCATGTAGCGCCAGAAATGGGCCAGCTCCACGCCAATCGTGTATCCCTTGAGCGCGGCGCAGGCCACTCGCAGGTGCTGCAGTTTGGGCATCACCTCACAGTCGAGCTGAGAGAGCCGCGCGCCACAGAGGAACGGACCCGGCGCGGCGGCCAGGAACGCGTCCAGCTTCCGCAGCTCGGCCTCCAGGTGACTCGGGTCCCGCGACACCGCCTTCATGTAGAAGCAGAAGCGGGAGAAGACGCCGGCAGTGGCCAGCTCAGCCTCCGGACAGTTGTAAGCCAGGCCCGCGCCCGGGAACGCCTCCCGCATGTAGGCAGCGATGTCGTCAGCGTTGTCGAGCGCTACTCCGCCGCACACCACGGCCGGCACGTGCTTCAGACCGTGCTGAGCGAACTCTGTTGGTGGACGGGACACCAGCACGGGCACAGGCTCTCCGCAGGTCACCAGGCCGGCAGCCTCCGCCGCCAGCGCAGACATGTAGACCGCCTGGCTGAACGGACATGCTCCCGGACGGCGGCCGTCCGCGCCCGCCTTCACATATACAGTCATCGAGGGCAGCGTGGCCGAGCCCATGACGTTCCACAGCCGAGTTCGGTATCACACTACACAGCACCGCGGGCACGGCCGCTGGCGTCACACTGCGCGGCGGTGGCTCCGGTCAGCCGACCGGCCGGCGGTTTATTTACACGGCAGCGTCAGCGTCAGCGGCGGCGGCGGCGGCGCGGCGCGGGGTGCCGCCCTCTCTCGCGCGCGTCCCCGACTGAGAGCGGTGCGCGGTGCGGCGCCGCAGCGCGCCGCACGGGCGGAGCCAGCCGCGGCGCGGGCCGGCGCCGCTGCTCTTTGTGCCGCCCCGGCCAGGTGTGTGCCCGCCCGGACCGGTAGTTGTGCCCGCGGACGTCCCCGGGCGCCGGGACGCTGCACGTGCCCGCCCGCGGCTATATTGGGACGGCCCGAATGGAGTGCCTCGAGGGGCGCCGGTGATGGATGCAGCTGGCGGCTCCTCCCCTCCCAGCGGCGGCCGCCGCCCCTGTCGCTACTAATGCTGCTCCTCGCTGTCCCCTGCAGCTAGCAGCCGCCGCATGGGTCCGACCAGTGCCCGCTCTCCCGTCTACGTCCCGTGCCGACCCTCCCCTCCCCTTTCTGACCCGCGCCTGCCACGCGCCCGGAGATCGCTTCATCTCCCCTTCCCCCTCCCCACACGGGAGCGGTATTTCCCACTCCCACCCCCACAGGCCCGTACCATCCGTCCTTGTCCCGCTCAGGACTCGGTCGTTCGCACAGTCCCATGGTGGTCCGATCAATCAACATATGGTAATCCTGCGTACGGTGCGAGTGGCAGTAGCGGTAGCAGCGGCCGTTCGACATTCGGAGAAGCGAGAACAGCCGATCGAACTATCGAATAAGGCACCGAAATACCCGTTTGTGATGGCCTGAAAATTGGCCCGAACCCCCGTAGCGCAGGAACTGATCCCAATTAGAATAGAAATGCTGGCTTCTGTGATGTCCGCACTTCAGCCGCGGCATATAAACGAGGCATAATGACGCGTGAACCGAGTGATAACATTTAGGCGAGGAAACCCGATTTATCAGCCGGTAACTTTGGGCTTATAGAGCCTTACACGTACAGGAAACGTTCAAAACTGGCTCATGAATACTTTGTCCAGGCCTTTTCTTGAATTTGGTGTTGTTCAGTGCAGTCTGTAGTTTGAAACGTTACATTTATTCATGTACCTTTATTTTGTTTTAATTCATTTACCGTTTAAAATGGTACCATTACAATTGAACGATATATATTGTATCAGTCACATCGGTCTTTAAAGCAATTATAAACGTTGAAAGTGACGCCTATGACCTACCGAAGATCATGCACTTGCACATGTTACGAGTACATACAAGGTACCGCTTATATGCTATCATGCTATCACCTTCCATTGATTCAACAGTCGAATACTATTCCCTAAAGTGATGGAAGGTCAAAACAGTCCCATGTGGCTGATACTGTCATTCCAAACACTTGAAGTATTGAACCGATGCATCGCATCATGCAATATCCCGACATTTTCTTGAAAAGCTGGCGCTTAGACGGGACGATTTCCTTTGTTTTCTCTGTTGTGTGGCTAGCTTTTTGGTTTATTGAGACCATTTAGTCATGACCTGATTGGACTCATTCAACCACTGGCTGGTGCTACGCAGCGGCTGAGCCCGTCCCTTTTAGACAGGCTGTCATTCACCAAATGGCTTCACGATCCCCTCCGCGTGAGGGGCAGCTGGTATTGAAACTGGTCTCCTCGGTTACCTGTAGAAGACTATCAGCCCAGGCTAAGGATGGGGATGGGTTAGTCCAAAGAACAAAAGGCCGCATGTCCCGCGTACACACCGTGAACAAATCAACCAAGGACTTCCTGGCCGCTAAGCTCCGATCGCTGTGACACTCGACATTCGGGACGATGCTGGGCCTGGTGTGGCGCCACGGGCTCTGACTGACCAAACGCAACGGCTCACGCTAAGCTCACGAAGGCAGCGAGCTTATCGTGCTGCGACCAGCATCAACAGTGCTGCCACCACTCCGACATGTAGCTTCCAACATTGTCACCAGAGGTCTCTGAGGATATAACTCTGAGCCGACGGTCACCTCACCCAGCCAGCCGGCGAGGGCAGCTGTTACAGAGATCCCCCTCCGGGATGCCCGTATGATCGGCTGTGAGTTTATTTAGTTCGTCCCGCTGGGACATTCCCGTCCAAACGGGATAGGCTCAGCTGCGCACGAACCGGCGGTGACGAGATCGGTATAATGTCCCCGCTTATCTCTTTACCCCTCGGCAGGCTTGCAACACGGTGAACAGATAAGGAGGGGGTCGCACCGACTACTAGGTGATTTTCGACTGCGTAGAGTAAGAAGCAAAACAAGGTTTGTCGGTTTGAAGAGACTGATGGCTTATTGACCCGCGCCCCACTGGGGTCTGCGTATAACACGCCCTACTGGGGGGGGGGCTATTCATAGCCCCCCCTCCTAACTCCGAAACTACTGGGCCGATCGTCAAAATTCAAACGGCGTCTAATAGTCCCGGAAAAACTGTCGAAGGAAACCTAATTTCATTGACCTCGAGGTCACCGATGACGTCACAGGTCAGGTCAAAGTAAAAATTATTAGCATTTTGCTTATTCACGTTTTGGGCTCTGGCCGCCGTCTTACAAGTCAGATCAGGCTCATTTTTGGATCACATACTCGTGAACAGATGCTCTAGATACCCCGAGGGTACCAAACTTGTACTTTGATTTTCAGGTCAAGGTCAGGTCATCACAGGTCACGAAAATATTATATCATGCGTCGGTCACGTGACACATGTTTTATGGTCCATTTTGGCCAGAGATTTCGAATGTGATGTCGTCTGTGTCATTCGAGGTCATTTTGAGACGAATTTAGCTTAGGTCAGGTCACTTTCAGGTCAAAAAAGGTCAAATTTTGAAGTTAAGATTTTTCAACAAAAAAGGTGTCTATTGGATGCAATTTGAGCTCAGGAACACGATGGTGCTATTTATATTGGCGTACGATGTCAAATACGTGCTGAAAAATTGATTTGAAAAATTAATAATTGTGAATTTTTTGCAATAATGCGTAAACTTGGCCATTTTTGAAGATATTTAGCTAAAACTTGCTAGAGTTAGTCATAATAATGCCTTCTATCACATACCTATATTCCGTTTTTTTCGAAAAGTCAAAAACTTTTTGAAAAAAAATGTAAAAATCTAAATTTTGGAATTTATTATATGAAATTTTCGAAATTTTCAAAATTTCGAAAATCTGAGATAGCAGTTTGAAAGCGCAGTCTATTCTGAGTCCTCTCATGCAAAGAAATTGGATCTAGCTTAAAAACTAAGCTCTTGGAAGCGATTGCCGTGGTTCAATGTTTTGCGTCGAAATCGGCCGAACATGACGTCACTCTGACGTCATTTCCGGCCGACCTATGGTAGCTACGAAGTTAAAATTTTGACACAAGGTGTCAAATTGATGCAGCCAAAGGTACTGAAAGTTTGGCGTCGATACGTCAAACAGTTTGGAATTTATTGCAGAAAAACGGGAGGGGGGCTATAAATAGCCCCCCCCCCCAGTGGGACGCGGGTTAAGGCGAACCTGAGCGAAATTCGTAACCGCTGACAAATGACAATCTAGCATGAGATGAGCTGTTTGGTCTAACTTGCCCAAAACATTGAAGATTCATTCACGGTTACGGTACAACCGTAATCGGTTAGCTAACGATGACCTTATACCTATACCTACTCAACACTCACTTCCATGCCGGCACTGTTCGATGCGTCAGTGCACGAATCACGTAGACTTTGGCGAAGGACCACCAGCAGCACGGTTTAAACGGATCAAGGTCAGCTATTTTCAGAGCTGCAGTCCCCAGACTATCAGCTTGGGTTTCGCGCGAACATAACTAGTGCGGAAATTCTAGCATACCAGAGCGTCAATGTGGATGACTAACCGATACTGCGATACTGTGGAACAGCTATAGAGCTGAACATACTCATACACGGTACATGGCCGCAAACGTATCGATATTACTATTGACTGAATAATATTTACGTTTACCGACGAACAGACGAAAAAGTTCGACCTGTCGCGACCACTGAGCAACTATGTAGACATCGTATCAATATTAATCGCAAAACACACTTATAAATTAAAGTTAAGGTTCTAAACGGCCTTGACTTTGGTAAAGATCTTATCTTGGCACTACTCAAACCCATCGTTCATCGTCAATATAAATTCGTCAGTCGGCCACTCATTTTTAATCAACGGGCTCAGAACTCAACAAAACTTAACAGCATTCACACAATGGAAATTCCGAAATAAATCATACGGATAGGCAATAGCCATTCCAGCACATTCAAGCGGAGGGTGCAGTTTTTGAATGGGTGATACCTCTAAACAACGGCGCAGGCCCGAATCAAGATTCACACAGTCGCTGCCTGCCCTTACTGCTGAGATAAGGCGAGTCGGATGTTCGCTCGATCTTTTTCGCGATATCCGAACAAGGCCATCCCGACAGGACCTTTCAGGTCTACAACTCACTGTCATCGAGGAAGTGGTTCGGGAAACATGTTTTTCCTTTCGAGCCCCAAGTCGTGCAGCGCTCTGTCTCTGCGACGAATGAGCGGGCTTTGTTTCCGCCGTATAAAGGCACATGTGATGACGTTCAGCAGTCAGCACTGTGATAAAACACTGATTACCGGGCTATCCACACATCGTGATTTTTTTTTGCATGTGAGAGTGCAAGCATGCGGGCGGATTATTTAATAATTTTAACAAAATAACGTAAGGGTGCTGGCTTTATTCTTGCAAATAAATGTGCCACCAGTTATGGTGTGAATGGCCCAAAAACAAAATACATTATCAAAATGCATTGCCGTACAATATATACTACCATATTTTGTTACTTACCGCGATACATGTGCCGCAGCAGCTAAAGCTACTGAATCTGTGGCGAATAGCAGCGCTAAAGCAGAGCAGATGAGCTCGTAACGTTTTTGTTGCTGTCTGCTTCTCTGTGCTGCGGGCGGCGGGCGGAATTAAACTCCATTCTGCCGCAAGGTCGCAGAACACGATAATAGGGGTGAACTGAGTGGCAGAATCTGAGGGTGTGGGCAGGGCGTTGGCTAGGGTGGCTAGGGTGTGTCGGTTGTTCTGTTGATCCATGATCATAATAATCATGATACTTTATGATTCGCTGATCCTGCACCCCTCGGTCTTTTCGTTACCCTCTAACCCGCCGGTAAATTCACATGCCTCTAACCCGACAGGTTGTCGATGTGTCAGCGCGCGAGCCGTGTCGGTTTGCGGCGGGCTCTATTACCAGTCCTC